TACAAATGAACTGAAGAAAACTTAATTGAGTGTTCATGTTATACATTGATATCTTTGTCTATCTGGAACTTGGAACCCCTCCTTTGCTATTTACAACAATGAAACAAATGTATTTAATTGTAATTCTTGTAAATATAGGTATTTTAAGTGTAACCATATAGAACATATTGTGTAACTCAACTACCACAAATTATGTGTTATTGATTTATTTTGATAACACCTTAAAGGACAAACAGTATATTGCCAATATGACATACTGACATAGTTCATATATGTGTAGTTGTATGCATAATATATTATGTACAGTGTGAACTTTACGTGTGTCTTTAAGTTTTTAACAAGTAAAAGTGTCAATTTATTACGAATATATGATCCCTATTTCCTCCCAAATTTCCTAAGCTCTGAGAATATTCATCTTGGGTGTGTGGCAGAGCAAGAAAGTCTCAGGGTCCAAGACAAGATAAATTAAATTGTATTTAATTAGGTATTTGAATTCAAATATTTTTTCTAGTATTAATACTATCTATCAACAGGAATTTGTATGTAGTTTAAAATTATTATTTTAAACTAACGGTTAGTTTATTTAACTATAAGTATTATTACATTTTTTTTTTTTTTTTATTGGTTTTATATGTGTATAAATATTTATACTTATATTTATACTTTTCTCGGATAAATACCACTTCGCCCACTTGATATAATACTGGTTGACAATGCTTTTGATCATACCTCTCTTTCCATAGTTTGTGTTCAGCTTCAATCCGATCACTTACTTTAGCTCGCAGATCATCCACTTCTTCCCACTTTTCACTTGTTGTAGCATAACGTAGTATTCTATCCTTGAAGCTAGGTAAATATCCAAAAAGGACTTGAAATGGTGTGTGCCCGATAGTTTTGTTGTAAGCGTTGTTTAGCTGACTTTTCACTATTGCAATATGTTTGTCCCAGGTACGATCCGTCTCCATGTTTGCTTGCATCACTGGCACCAATGTACTATTCACCCTCTCAACCTGACCGTTCGATTGAGGGTGTCGCATTGAATTTAATGTGTGTCTGATTCCTTGTTGTCCACAATATTCCTCGAACGCTCTTGAAGTGAAGGCACTCCCTCGGTCACTAATGATCCTCTTCGGTATCCCGTAGGATGTTATAAATTGATCCAGACTTTTCACTACTCTTTCAGTACTGCAAATTTTTACTGGAACAGTTTTACAAATTTGGTTAGGTTATCTATAATCACTAATACATAACTGTTTCCACGTGTTGATCTAATAAAGGGACCTATGTGATCCAAATTTATAATTTCAAAAGGGCGTTTCCCTGGCAGTATCGGATGTAGCTGTCCCGGTTGTTTACCTCTTGGTGTTTTCGTCAGTATACACTCAGGACAACACTTTGTATGGTATTTCACATATCGCCTCAATCTAGGAAAATCGTACCGCTCTATGATTTTAGTTGCTGTTCGATCTACGGAAAAGTGCCCTGCTAAGTCATGAAACCGCACCACTATGCTTTTGCGCATGCTCTCTGGCACAGTCCACAAATGTTTCTCCTCGTCACCATTCTTTACTCTTCGGTATATTAGTCCACCTTTAAGTAAGCACCCTTTTACTATAGCGTTTTCAGCAATCGTACGTTCCGTCTCTCCCCGACTTAATATCTCTGCAATCCCCTTCAGTCTATTGTCGGAACGCTGCATCGCTTCTACCTGTTCCTCTTCAGTGATTGTTATGAACACTCTGCATCGTTCATCCATTTGTTCGGTCTCTGTGTCACTAGGGTTATTAACTGGTGCTCTACTGAGTGCATCAACATGAGCCATCTTCACTCCTGGACGGTGTTGTATGTCATAGTTGAACTCACTCAACAGGGTAGCCCATCGCGCAACTTGTGGGTTAACAATTTTTTGAGTGTTTAAGTGTACTATAGCTTGACAATCGGTTATTATCAAAAATTTAATACCAATCAAATAATGTCGTAACATGCCTAAACTCCAAACTACAGCCATCAGCTCTAACTTGCTGGAATGATAGTTCCTTTCTGTCGGTATGGTCTTCTTAGACACTGCCTGTACCAAATGTAATTGGTTGTCTCCTTCACCATTTTTTTGGAGGAGCATACCACTTAACCCTTCACTACTAGCATCGCAGTGTACTTCAGTGTGGGCTGTAGGATTGAACAACTTCAGAACGGGTCTACTGACCAGTTTGTTCCTCATCGTTTTGAACGCATCCTCCTGCACGGTTGTTCATTCATATGGCACCTCACTCTTGAGTAATTCACTAATTGGTCTAGCCATTTCTGAATAGTGTGGTATGAACCGACGAAAGAACCTGCATAATCCCAAGAACCTGTGCACCTCATGTTTGTTCCTTGGTCTTGGATACTGTTGTATGGCCTGCACTTTCTGCTCACCCGGTCGAATACCATCAGCTGACAACATATAGCCCAAATAAGTAACCTCTGAATAAGCAAAATAACACTTACTCAATTTTAACGTCAATTTTGCTTCCTCGAGTACTTCAAATACTTGTTTCAATCAATTGAACATGTCTTCACATGATGTAGATGGTATTAAAATATCATCCAGGTACCACATGGCCACCTTGTCTCTCGACGGACTCATAATCCTCTGCATGAGTCGTGAAAACTCATACGGCACGTTGATCAGACCAAAAACCATGCGTTCGAATTGACCTGATTCATTGGGTGTTACGAAGGCAGTCTTCTCTTTTGCCGATTCCGTTAACGGCACCTGCAATTAGCCCGAGGCAAGATCCAACGTGGAAAATACCTTAGCTCCATGAAATGACTCTAGCTGGTCATCCAGGTTTGGCGTCGGGAACACCTTGCGGACCGTTTGTGAATTGAGTTTTCGGTAATCCACTACTAATCGTGTGTCCCCGTCTTTTTTAGTAACCAATAATACTGGTGAAGCATACGGTGAGTTTGTCTCAGTCACTATCCCAACATCCTTACATTCCTTGACAATCCGACTAATGGTCTCGCGTTCCGTCGCATTCGCTCGATACGGTTTACTAGCTTCCGGTTGCCCAGTATCCATAATGTCCATCTGTATGACGTCGGTACAGCCCAATTCGTTTAAACCAAATGCAAAGCACATACGATATGAGTTCAAGAGTTCCAACAGTGTACATACCTCAGCCTCCGTGAGCATAGGTCCGATGTTCACCTTCTCCCTAGTGATTTGCTCCACTGAGTCATTATTTATCTGTGGTTTTTCATTGTTCATGCGAATGACTCCCAAACGAGCACCCTGTTGCAACTCTACCTCCTCGGCACTGTCATTGATGATCATCACCTTCATCTGTTGATCCCCAACAACTACTTCAACCAGTTTTGCACTACGGGCAGGTAAATTTTCAATCGGTCGCATTATACTCGCATCATACACCTGTGGATTTCTTTGTGGTATTACTGAATCGTGGTAGGGAAACCGCATACCATAAGCAAATAGTAATTGATCATTTGTTTTGATGAAGGTTACTTCTTTACATTCTGTAAACGTTCTTCCTATGATCACATCATAATTTTGCTTCTGATCGTCCACTACAATCAATGGGACCCTCTCGCTCACCTGATCAATACTGATTGTGGCCCAGGTTTCACCTACACTTTCTACTGACTGTGTGTTACCATATACCCACATGCTTATCTTCTTTGGTTCCACACGTAAACCGTAACGAACTGCAATAGACTTCCGCAGTATTGAGTATGCACTTCCAGTGTCAACCAGCCCCTTAACCGGCTCATCATGTTCATTGATCCGTACCTCTTTTATATAACATGTCACTTGGCTTTTAGTCTGTGTACCGACCAAATTAACTTCAGGAACATTTGCCCTACAATACTCCGCTGTATGTCCACTTTTATCACATTTCTTGCAATGCATTGGTTTCCGCGGTTGAGTACAGTCACGGGCTATGTGACCGTAAAACTGGCAGTTATAACAACGAGTACCCTCTTTATCCCGTCGTGATGTATTAGTTTTTGTTGTCACCTCTTCCTCTTTCCGATTAGTATCTGGAACTTTATTTGACCACGACGACTGGTTACGTTTCTTGTAAGTTGCGGTCGACTGAAACCGCTCACAACGATTTGCTTCTACCTCCATGTATGTGCGTATATCTGTCAGGAGCTCTGCTTCATCGACGTGTCCGTTACTTAATAGTGCGATAGACATTTCACGGGAATGCAATCCTACGCATATCATTTTCTTTGTCTCTGCTGCGTTTAATTGTAATCGTCGACACATCCTCACTTTGTCATGGAAATAGGCAAACACTGCTGCAAACATCAAAAGAGCTCCCGAAATTTCGAGATTTGGAAAAATTCCTGGAAAATCGAGTTTCTGCTTATGAAGTCGGTGAGGTTGGTAACCAGTTCACCCAACTGAAGCCACTTGTGGTGAATGCTCAATGCAAAAAAAGGTTTTATTTGTCCATCAAAATGACAACAGTCCATCTAAGGAAAGAAAATGCATAGTGTGTCCCGAACATCATCGATTAGCATTGTGCGAAAATTTCAATAAAATGTCCCTCACTGAGCGCCAAGACGTAGTTTTCAAAAACAAGTTATGTTATAATTGTTATAATCCTGGGCATCAGGTTCGCCAATGTCGGGTTGGCAACTGTAATAAGTGTGGAAAACGACACAACACCAAATTACACAGTAATGAACCGTACAACCAGCCTCCTTCCGCAAATGAACAGCCATCGATGCCACAAGGCCAATCTGTGGTAACCTATCTTGAGCAAGCTAACAACAATCCTACTGCTCTAAAACAAATAATGTTAGCTACTGCCGTGGTCAACTTAACAAATTCAACTGGTCAACAGATTTCATGTCATGCAGTATTGGATTCCGGGTCTCAAGTCTGCCTTATAACCAGAAAGTGTGCATAAAGACTGCATATTAGTGGAATTCAAGGCTCAGTATCATTGGCTAGTATTGGATCTGTAGCTGCTAAGACTGGCACAATGATAAGCACACCCATGTGTTCACGACTTAGTGACTATGAAGCATCCATCAATTTTAATGTAATCAACTCAATAACAAACAAGTTACAAAGTCACAGTGTAAACATCAATCAATTAAACATTCCCGACACAATATTAAACTGTTTAGCTGATCCTGGATTCCATGAACCAGGCAATATTGATGTACTAATTGGTGCTGAAATATTTTATGAACTGTTAATCGGCGAAAGCAAGAAAACACCAGAGGGTACTATTTTACATAACACCTGTTTAGGATGGGTGCTAACTGGTTCAATGCCCATCGCAAACTATCATATGAGCATGTCAAGTCTATTAATACAATTTCAATCAATGTCGTCTCTGGCTCTTACAGACCGCCCCACTTGTAGTGTCAAAGAAGACCAGTCAGTAGCTGAAGCACATTTTACCAGTACAGTAACCCAGGATCATTCTGACCGATTTGTGGTACGATTGCCATTTCTGCGTGATCCTGAGGTGCTAGGCGATTCAAGACTTATGGCGCAGCAGCGTTTCTTCAACCTTGAGCGAAAGATGAATCGAGATCGTATGCTGGCTCAAGAATATAAAAAAATCATGTGTGAGTATGTTGCATATTCAGCATTTATATTATATGATATTACACCTTTACTGTTTATACTAACAATAATCATAAGTATCATATTACGATCGGTGGGGACTGTCCATCGGTTATTAGCGAGTAGAAATATATTGTACGTCATTACGATTTATACTGTCAACAATAAATGTCTATATAATACGTTTATGTTATTATTTATATT